TTTTTTTTGAACGGAACATTGTCGAGCCAGTGTTAGCAAGAAAAATCTTGGTCTTTTTTGGGACTTGTAAAGTAATACCAACTTCGATGAAGCTACAGCACGAATGCATCTTGGGTTGTGCGTGTATGAAAAGCAGATGTCAACACAACTTAATGCAAGTTGCCTGCGAAATAGCTGAGTTGTACGATTCAAGTCATCACCCCTATAAGGAGAGTTTTTTACTTTCGTCTACTTCTGCTGTGTTTATGCACCGGCTTTGAATAATCTTATGGTCGACTAAAATTGGAAAGCTTCAAATTTAACATAGATGAAAGGAAGTTACTGATAAAGGGTTTGCGAATTTTTGACTACAATGAACGTTTATTCTCTCCTCGCAGAATGGTTCTTGCTTTAAACGTTAATTGGCAAGACTAAGAATTGGGGAAACTACGTGGCGAATGTACGCAACGATATCAAAAACTGCGATGTCTCTCCCAGATCAAAAGAATTGTTCGCTTTCCCTTACCAGTTAGAGGACGAATGTTTCTATAGGAGAGAATGGAAGAATAAAGATGTATCACTTTTTCATGGTAGATGATTGAAATAGTGGTAAAAAAATTGGAATCGATGAGAATTCCTGAAACCTATGAAGAATAAAGCGATCTTGCTTGCAAGTGCAGGTTCTAAACAGAGGATGTTACAAATCTTCTTTATTCATAATTCATCAAGGCGTGGAGTTTTATATTTGCTTCGTCATCAAGAACAAACAGAACTTTGATTCAACGGAACTTTAAATTCTTCAGCAACTGTATCCTCAGCAAAGTCGCCGCCTTGTTTCATTTTTGAGATCTGACAACAATCTTCCTTCCTCAGCAAAAGCTTTGCAGAACGAATACAAGAAGGGCGGTAATATCTGAGTTTGCATACGTGCCTTTTATCGTTCCCGCCATTTCTCACTGTCTCCGCAAAAGCCGTAAAGAAAATATTGACGTTAGCATCATGTATACATGAAGATGTTCTATGGAAATGTTTGCTTTTCATGTTGCAAAACACATGCAGGGCCAAGAAGGTTTGCATTGGAATAGTTAAGCTTCGCAAAGTGGCGTTCACTTTTCGATCACAAAGCAGGAGCGTGTCGGCATCGCAACATAATGCCTCAGTTTCAATATCGCAATCTACAACAAAGAAGAGCGAAGTATTGACTGTGAAACACTTTTCACATGATCCATGTGATGAAATGACTACAGCAGTAGATGAGCATCGAGATTTTGTACAGAACAAAAAAGTGCAGGGGATTCCGATAGCCTACGTTGGGAAGCTCTACAGGACAGCTGCGAGTGGAAAGACTATTTATCATGGTATGACCCTGGCAGTAGCAGATTGTTGCTCATTTGAAGCACAACTTCATGAACGTCAGCTTGGCTATGGAGATCCAAGGTGTGACTCCTCAGCTTTGATATCGAATTGCAGTTGGATGATCAATACTGAGTTCACGGAAGAACGCTCACCTCGCTCTCTTACGAAGGTTTTGTTGAAAGCAGATGAGCAAGTATTGTGGATTCCGATAGAAATGAATACAAGAAATTAAAAGTTCCCAGGAAACAAGATATGCAATATGCAGCGATAATTGAGCCACTGTCACTAATTTTTCAAGGTGCAATCTTCAGTTTTGCTACTTGCAATGTTTTCACTCTACTAGTGAATTTCACTTCAAAGTTTAGAAGATACTTCGTAAAGGTTCAAATTAATCTCATGAAATATGCCAATAATCATCCAATGCCTTGGTGCGGTGAGTGACACGTGGGAAACTACAATTGTTGGTGTTCTTCAAAGAGGTTAGTATAGCTATTAACGCACACCTTTCCTCTGGAGAACTGGAATAGAATAAACCAAAGGAATTAAGTAGCAGGC